GTGGGTCACAAGGGCTTTGCCCAGGCAGCAAAGGGGTTGGGGGGGTCTGATGCCCTGCGGGGCTAGTTTTCTACCATTGCCTTTATTTATTATCCTATTACAGTGTTTCCCAAACTTGACCATTTTAAGGCATGAGGACTTCAACTCCCAGAATTCCACAGCCAGCATTGCTGGCTGTGGAATTCTGGGAGTTGAAGTCCTCATGCCTTAAAATGGTCAAGTTTGGGAAACACTGTCCTATTATGATCCCTCTCCTCTCCCCTTTCCTCCCAGGAATGCTGATATATTGTGAGTCAGATTATCCACATGTTCTACAGGATCCCTTAGCCCAGTGGTTCTCCACCTGTGGGTCGGGACCCCATTTGGGGTCGAACGACCATTTCACGGGGGTCGCCAAACAACGCAGTCCGCCATTTTTTCCCCCTTTTCCTTAGCTGTGCTACTCCCTTTTATTCTACTGGCTTTTGAAAGCCAATAGAATAGACTCTCTTGAATAGAGTCTAATTCTATTGGCTTTCAAAAGCCAATAGGAATTGTCCAGGCTGTCTCTGCCCTGCCGCGACCCCCAACTGGTCATAAGTCGAGGACTACTCAACCGGTCGTAAGTCGAGGACTACTCAACGGGTGCAGCACCGTTTGCAGACTGGGACTTTTGGCGGGCTCAGCAGGGCAGAGACAGCCTGGACTATTCCTATTGGCTTTTGAAAGCCTATAGAATTAGACTCTATTCAAGAGAGTCTCTTCTATTGGCTTTCAAAAGCCAATAGAATAAAAGGGAGTAGCACAGCTAAGGAAAAGGGGGAAAAAATGGCAGACTGCATTGTTTGGCGACCCCCGTGAAATGGTCGTTCGACCCCAAATGGGGTCCCGACCCACAGGTGGAGAACCGCTGCTTTATGACCACATCACTGAGCGACGGAAATTCCAGTCCCAGCTACCCTTATTAACCTGTGATTATCGCTAGATAGCCTTATCCCCTGTTAACTAGCTAGCCCAGTGATGGCGAACCTTTTAAAGACCAAATGCCCAAAAACTGCCTCGCCCCTGCCCCGTCCCCGTGTCTCCTGCCCGCAGGGCCACCCACCACCTCCACGGCCCACCACAGCATATCGCCCAGGCGGCTCAGCAGCGCCATGGTGGCCATGCCCTCTGTCCGCGCCCCGCAGCATCATCTGTACGCAATGTGGTACAAGGGCGAAGTCTTATCCCCGCTCCCTGGCTGCCATGTTCTTGGCTGCACTGCTCTGCACAGGCTGCGCCCGGGGCAACTCTCCTCGGGGGGGGGCTGCTGGTGAGGAGGGGGCTACGGGCGGTGGCGGAGCTGAGGCGATGGCGCGCGTGCCCACAGAAAGGGCTCTGAGTGCCGCCTCTGGCACCCGTGCCACAGGTTCGCCACCACTGAGCTAGCCTCTTTCGTTTTCTAGCTTGTTTCTACTGGTTGGTTCAGCATCCACGGTCAGCTTTTTATTTCACTATTTGACAGGCCAAACTGGATGGGCCACTTAATATCTGCAAAAAAGGTTTTTATAGAATCGATAAATATGAATGAAAGCAAGGTCATGGTCAGCAAATGTCATCTTTCTATGTTTTGCCTCTAGAGGGCAAAATAAAACTACTATTGTAGTCATAGTTCACTAAATGAATGATCTTGGTGCATACATAAGCCATGGTTTGCTCAGTACTTGGTAAATAAATTGCAAGCGATAGAATCATACAGCAACTTAAATCATAAATATGGGATCATGCAATAAATTCACCCAGAACTAAACCGTTTAGTGCTTGGAATAACATGGAAATCTGCTTTATAAGCCACTCTGGTTCAGCTCATTCAACACACGCTCAATTAACAAATTACATTATGATTTTAGTACAGTGTGTAAATTCAACCACTGGCAGCGTTTACATTTGCAACCATTATGTTAAACTATTTGAATGTGCCAATTTATTTTATCTATATTAGATCTGAAAATAAGTATTCTATGCAGTAATAATGAGAGGTAGAAAATCCTGGTGACAGTGTGATTACTCTAGTGGCTTATATATACATCTGCCTTTTATATTTCCACTCTACTTAATTATCCAAACTGAGTCTACATGTGTGTATGGACACATGAGAAAATTGTGTACCACATTTTCATCCCATTTTATTCAGAGATTCTTTTCTTTCCTTCCCTCCCTCTTTCCATCCCTCTTTCCTTTCCTTTCCTTTCCTCCCTTTTTTCTTTCCTTTATTGTGCATGGTTTAAATTAGAAGTTGTGTGTTTGTTGCTTTATCGATATTTTAAAATAGATCTTGCGCCTGAATTTTTGCTAGTGTTCAGTTTGAAGGAAAAAAAATCAGATTAAATGGAGTACATAGCTCACCTTGGCCTAAGACTCCAGTCCTTTAATATAAACAGCGTAGCCAGAATCACAAGTGCCGCTGAGTTGTGCTGATTTCATGGCACTAAATTCCCCCTCTGGGTCTACTCAGAGGAGCTTCCTCTGTTGTGTGGGCCCCGCTCTGCTGTTTTGATGAAGGAAATGGAAGGGGGAGGGGATATTTCAGCACTTTTGCCTGATGCCCACCTGACAGCACTCTGTCGGACACAGCATGCTAACCTTCCCCAGCCGCGTGGCACGGTGCCTGGGGATTCTGGGAGTTGTAATCCCAGCACAGCTAAAGGGACCCAAAATGTTTTTGCGCACTTCATAGGGTTTGAAAAAATCTTCCTGGAAAGATGCTGGTGCCTTTGGCTGGTCTTGAAAGGCCAAGTGAGGTCACGTGAAGTTAGTACTTGGGAATCCTCCAGCCAGTCTAGACAGAGAAGGGGGGAAAAAAAACCAGCATCCTGGAAGAAAGCCGTGGGGAGCTGCTTAATGGGGGGCTGCCAAGCCTGCACAGCTAAGCCTGTGAAACCTGCAGGTGCTGAGCTTGGCCCAAGAGATTCCTTGCTTTCACTGTTTACTTCCCCAAATTGTAACGGTAGAGACGCTTCCGGTAAAGAGTTACCAGAACTTAGTTGCTGTGTTTATAGATTTGGATGAAACATGAAAGCCTCTAAAAGAAATAATTCTTCTTGTTCCAACTTTCTTTCTTTCTTTCTTTCTTTCTTTCTTTCTTTCTTTCTTTCTTTCTTTCTTTCTTTCTTTCTTTCTTTCTTTCCTTCCTTCCTTCCTTCCTTCCTTCCTTTTCTTTCTTTTTTCTTTTTTCTTTCTCTTTCTCTCTTTCTCTTTCACTCTCTTTCTCTTTTTTCTCTCCTCTTTCTTCTTTCTTTCTTTCCTTTCTTTTTTCTTTCTCTTTCTCTCTCTCTCTTTCTCTTTCTCTCTCTTTCTCTTTCTTTCTCTTTTTCTTTCTCTTTTTTCTCTCTTTCCTTTTCTTTCTTTTTTCTTTTTTTCTTTTTCTCTTTCTCTTTTTCTTTCTCTTTTTCACTCTTTCTCTTTTTTCTCTCCGCTTTCTTTTTTTCTTTCCTTTCTTTTTTTCTTTCTCTTTCTCTCTCTCTTTCTTTCTTTCTTTGTCTCTTTCTTTCTCTTTTTCTCTTTCTCTTTTTTCTCTCTTCTTTCTCTCTTTCCTTTTCTTTCTTTTTTCTTTCTCTTCTTTCTTTTCTATCTCTCTTTCTCTTTTTCTTTCTCTCTTTTTCTCTTTTTTCTCTTTTTCTTTCTTTCTTTTCTTTCTTTCCCCAAATAGCAGTATCTCTTCCTGCCCCCCCCCCCTTTCACAATTTCAATTAAGAGACCCGTGTGGGAAAAAGTGTCATTTTCTTGGTTCAGGAGAGGGAGCCGTTTCCTCAAAACTAAAAAGGAACCTTTGGCTGTTTGATGAAACTTTTTCGCCTGTGGGCAGAATGCTTCCAGAACTTGACAGGCTTTCTGCCTTCACACCGAGTGTCAGCCCTGAAAGAAGACACAGGATTCGTCCTCTGGGTTCCCTGTGCTCTCTTTTCAGATTGGAAGCGCCAGTCCTAACTGCAGGTTTGATGGCAACTGCTTTTCATTAATTCAGATTGCAATGGAGGTCACACCAAAAGCTGGTCTTGCGTTTATTTAGTTATTTATTAAATTTATATGCCACTCACTTCTCAGTTCGAGGCATCTCTGGGCAGCTTGCAGTGTAAAAAAACATACGTATATAAAAGCAATTATAAATATAAAAACAGATGAACACGTCTCCATCTCTTTGGTTGCTGGGTTGCGAGTTGGAAGGATTTCATGCTGAGAAGAGGGAGAACAGATTCCCTTCATGGAACTCTGCCAGCAGAAGGTTGGTTTGATTTTGGATTAGCAGGTTGTACGAAGCCAGCTAACAAGGTTTGTCTGAATAAATCACGGTTAACAAGCTAGCTAAGTATGATGCATCAAGCTGCACAGCAGAGGTGTTTTAATCCCTCCAAGCACAGCAGTTAGGCCTGCCCAATGCAGCTAGCTGCCTCTGGCAATTGTTGACCGTCTTGCCAAGGATTTGCAAGAACAGCCATGTTGGAAGCAGGAGGCTCCCTTTCTGAATCTCTTTTGTGCAATAGTCCCAGAGGCGCTGAGGTCATAGGCAGTGGGCTTTGTTTCTGGGCCCCACTAAGGCCTTCCTTGAGCCCAAGTTGGAATCAGTTTCCTGCCACTGTTTTCTAAAGCAAAGAGCCAGAAAAAACAGGGGGTTTCCTCCCTCTGTGGCTGAAATCCTGGTCAGCTGCCAAGTGAAGAGCTGCACTGCAAGAGGGGAGCCTGCCAGGCTGAGACTGCAGGTGGAGATGTAGAGGAAAAAAATCAGACCTAAATCCAAGAATGACAAGGCGCAACCGGTGGAACTCGTCAAAGGGAGATCCATCTTGGAACTTCCTGGCAGTCCGAACAACTAGCCAAAGGAATACAGGTAGTCCTCGACTTATAAAAGTTCATTTAGTGACTGTTCAAAGTTACAAAGCGACTGATGACCGTTTTTCACATTTACGACCGTTGGAGCGTCCCCACGGTCACGTGGTCAGAACTCAGATGCTTGACAACTGACTCATGTTTATGACAGTGGCAGT